ATATGCTTTTTCTAAATCAACAAATATCATATATAGATCCTCTTTATTTTCTCTATATTTCTCCATCAAACCTCTTAATAAATGTACGACTTTCATTGTTGACCTACCTGGCATGAATCCAAATTGATTTTGAGAAACATTTGAATCATGCCACAACCTATGCTCCATAACTCACACCCATATTTTTAAATATATAACATTAACTTAATTCCTCCATAATTTGCACAATCTTGTGCATCACCTTTATTCTTAAAAATAGGAATTAACACACTCATTCTCCTCTCATCTGACATCTTTTTAGTCTTTAAAATAGTATTAAAAAGTTTAGTATGCCTATAAATTCCTTCATCTCCTAAGCATTTCCACACCTCTATTGGAATATCATCAGGTCCAATTGCTTTTCCACACATCATTTTCTTTAAAGCCTCTATAACTTTGATTTTATTAATATGTCGATAAAAATAGAAATTCTTATTTTCATTTAGGGTGCTAAGGTCACTACAGTTAATCGTATTTTCACATTCTTCATTAAAACGTTTAGCAAAATATCTCATCCCACCTTTGTTGAATATAATCTTCTAAGATTTTTTTTTTATCTTCATCCTTAATATAATTCACTTGAACTAAATCCGTACTACTCTTATCTCTTTGTTTGGTTAACTTATACATATATCTTTCTCCCTCCTTAGTATATAATCTATTATATAAATCACTAAAAGCTGATGTCTTTCTCCCTCCTTAGTTTATATCTTTCCCAATTATTAGAGTTTTTACAATTAAACCAATTTTTATAAGAAATCTTATTATTTTTAATATGATATTGTACATTTGGATTCCAACACCAACTATTTTTATTATTAAGAGTTTTTTCCTTTGAAACTCTAAGCACATCTTTTACAATATTTTTAATATCACTAGCCACTTTTTCCCACATAACATTAGCATCCTCATGCACAGATAAAATCTTAAGATCTAAAATCTTACTCTCAAAAATATTTTCATTAATATTATTTAAATGCCCCCATCTAATCCTTGAAGAAAATAAAAAATGTTACACTAATTCAAATATCTTGAGCTCATAATAATAAAGCAAAATCCTTAGCCAAATTAGCCAAAAAAAAATAGCAAGAATGAATGATGAGTCTGTATTGATCGGTGTCCACACTCATCAAATACTAGAGTAAACAATTTTGTGTTCCTAGTAGGTAGAGGGGTCATTGAATCTAAGCCAGCAAGATAAACCTCCAGTTAATCCTCAACCTACCTAATAAATTATTCTTAAAAACCAATCAGATGGACATCAAATGATTATAAGAAAATGTAAATCTAGTAGAGCCTCAAAGTCATGGTGGCATTGCTTAGAGATCAAAGAACATGATGATTGTAGTTAACATTTTATTGACTACTTTAGATAAAACAGGTTCCCAGCAGCTAAATCATTTGTTATGCAGATAAAAAAGAGAGCATTATGATACACATTTGTCAACAACATGCTGTATTGAAGGGCTTTTGATCTGATGTAGCTGAGATTTTTGGGGACTGAAGAGGCTAATAAGGTGGTAACACAAGTTTATGAAGGACGACTTTGTAGTGCACATTAATCAGATCCTAAAATGGCTAACAAAATTAAAATAATAGGTTATTATTGGACATCAATGATAACATAATACATTAATCATTCTAATAAATATCATAAATATCAAATATGGTGATATTATATATACACCACCAAAACTATTGCATCCCGCTATAGCATTGTGGCTATTTGAATGTTGAGGCATTGATATCATTAGGTCGATTGATCCACCATTATCAACATGACACTGCTTTATATCTCATCAATGTATTACTTTTCCAAGTGGATATACCAAATAATAAGTTTCATGATATTCAGCTTAGTTATTTTCAATTCATTTTAAAAAAATTAAGTAATCTTAATATTTTTAGTTATTTAAAGAATTTATATTCTTCTTCACAAACAATACATAAAACTTGTATATTCTAGTTTCCTCATGCAAGTATTATAGAGTTCTTGTAAGAAGATTGATTGAACTTTAATTTTAACTTCTAGTCAAGCTAAATTAAAGGAAAAAGCATGAGATGAAAGATAATGATATAAATAATATTGAATAATCATATGAGAGAGTTTGAAAAATTAGACTGAATAAGGAAAAAAAAAAAAGGAGATAATTAATATTTTACTAAGGTAGAACCGGAATATGAACTCTAAATTTCATAATAAATATTAAAATTATTTAAAAATATTCTAATTGATGTAATAATAATATAATAATGTAAATATTTAGTAAAACGACAAAAATATATAATGAAATATAGATCATACACAAATAACTTTTCAAAATGCATAACATAATTAAACATATAAGAAGTACATTTGAGAAAAATATAAAAAAATTCTAATTATCATGCAATATGAGACTAAAAACCCCTTCCATCTTTCTAACATGTTTTAAAATCAAATGATCATATAAAGTTGATAAAGAACGACTTGGTTTAAACTACAAAAATATATAAGAAACAAAGTAAAAATTATTTTTACAACATATTTAATGGTAAATACTTATTTGAATTACAAAAATAGAGATCATGAAATTTATGATGAAAAATAACTAAAGACATATTCAATATGTAATGACATGAAGCTGACAAATAAGCATGTACCTAAAAATTGGAAGAGCAGTGGAGGCAAACAAGTAGAGCTACAAATCACTATTGTATGAAATGGCAAATCGTTGACCTAGAAGAATGACGAAATAATGTGAGAACTTGATCCGCACATGAAAGAGCACGGGATTTTGAGAGGTAGGGTTAGGTGTAGGAAAATGAATTTTCTAGAAATATTTTAGACCCCATCCTTCAGATTTAAAATCAATGGTGATTATTTGTGTTAGATCTAAACTTATTCGTGGATGATATCCAAACATTACTTATGATACTTTTAGGGGTCTAATCATAAGAGTTGATAGAGAGAAAAGAGAAAAAGTGACAAAGTGAGAAAAGGGGAAAGATTCTAAGGATTATTTTATTGAATCCAAGTGCTCTCAAAATCACTCACGCCCTCCTTTAAAACTGCCCTATGACCCTTTATTTATAGTATTATGGGAATACGTAAAAAGCTATACACATAAGCATATTCATTTACACAAGGTGTGTGGCCGAAAAATCATGTAGCTAAAAAATGTAAAAGATATATATGGACAATTAACACATGGACTATCATTGATCAAGTGTACCATACAAGTGACGAGTGACAAGTAAGCTTACTAAGTGATGAGTGGTGAGTGTAGTCCCATCGAGTGAGGAGTTTCTAGTGTAGGCCTATCGAGTGATGAGTTGTGAATGTAGACTAGCTAAGTGATAAGTGGTGAGTACAGACCAACCAAATAATGTGTGTCTAGTGCAAACTCACTGAGTGATTATTGATTCTTGATCCTTAGCAAGTGCACCTTGGCCTTCAAAAGTGTGCCTTTTACCTACCTTACCCTAAGGCAAATTAAGTTTGAGTTCTTTGGCATATTTGAATATATATATTTAGTTTCTTAATTCTTTATATATTCCAAAAGTGGATTCCAAAAAGGTAAAAAAAAAAAAGAATAAGAAAAAATACATCAATTAAAGAATGTCTGAAAAACTTTTTAGTTTAAAGAGAAATTTAAGTGCTATTTTACTTTTATTATTTATATCTTTTGACTAAATTGATGCCTGAAATGGCCCCACCAATTGCGCTTGACATGTGAGCCTACTAAGTGATGAGTGACAAGGCCCACAAAGTGAATATGACATCTCTTTTAGTGTTTTGAAATTATTGACTCTTAGGCTTATTGGACATATCTCACCTTAAAGGGGTGACTCATATTAATAATAAAAAAGCGACTTCATTATGCATGGATCTTCCTTCTCCTAAGGACTTCGACTATTTTATAGATTTTGTGTCTGGCTTTAGCTAGCCTATAGAGAGTAGTCTTTGTTTATAAGCTTAAATAAATCTAGCCCTTAGACTCAGTACCTTATTTATAATTAATCAAATTTTCTCTTTTTAAGAAAATAATAATTCTCCAAGTTATCAATGTATCAGTTCTTTAACTTGCAATTGGTCAAAAAATTGATTATTGAGTTTTTAGATTAAAGCTATTTTAAATTTTCTCATCCTTATTTATTTTATTTATTTTTATATATTTTTAAATAAACAAAAAATCTATTCAAAGGGAGGAATGAGTTCACTTGATTTTTTGTGTTGATTCTACTGAGTTGTTAAACTCTTTCTTTGCACCTTTAGTTCTTAAATTGAATATACCATAAATGAGTATAACTCTCACTTAAAAAGTTTGAGTTTTGGACTAGTTGAAATCTACTTTGGTGATTTGAATTGTTAGACGAGGGACATGTTGCACTTAATTAGTAGGCTTGATGAATGAGCCTGATAAATCCTTTATGAATTCCAAGAATGTGTTCCATGAGTATTAGCAACTTCTTTGATCTACCACTCTACTTTTTGCAATGCTTGGCTTTTGGTCTCTGACATTAGTCCACACTCATCATATCTTTTCAAATATTAGAATCAAAATTATCCATAGATGATACCAAACATTACATCCGAAACTTTCAAGGCTCACAATACAATAGTAAGTAGAAAGAATAAAATAGAAAGAGATATATTCTAAGTATTTTGTTATTAGAATCGAGTACTCCAAAATTAACCTACCCTCACTATCTCTCTGAAATTGCCCTATAACTCTTTGTTGATAGGATTATGGGGCTATAAGAAAAGCTATATTCATTTACATAAGGCGTGTAACCCAACAAGTATGTAGCTAAGAAATTGACATATGGACAATCATTGGTCAAGTGGGTTTGACAACTAGTGAGTGATTAGAGGCCCGCTGAGTGACGAGTTGCGAGTGCAGTGACAAGTGTAGATCTACTAATAAGTGATCCTTAACGCTTAGTGGGTGCACCTTGTGGACAAGTACACCTTTAAGATTCATTGCCTCAAAGATCTTGAAGCCATTGACATATTCTGATATAAAATTTGTTTAAATTGTGAGTTGATGGTTGTATTAGATCTGAACCAATTTTCTAGATCACTTATTGAACCGCTGTTTCTTCTGGATTTGACCCGCGTTTTCCCTCAGCGCGTTCAGTCATGGATCCTCGGCGAATTCCGAGTTGCTTCGATTGAAAACTAGGGATTTGGCCCAGCTCGATGTAAAACCGATTTTAGTCTGATCGGATCGGCTGTAGAACCTTGATACATGGCCTGCTGGCCTAATCAGATTTCGTATTGCTTGAGTATCCGTCCATCCTTAGCAATCCTTTAAGAGTTAATAGGAGAATATGTAGCGATTTTAAGGTGCTAAACTCCAATGCTGAATTTTAGGATAACATATATCAAAGATTCGAGAAGAAAACGAAGGTAATTGTAGGGTTCTGCATCCTCACCCTCCAGCCACGAGCATTTGCGCCGCTGCATCACTGGGAGATGTGAATTCTAGGCACGGTTCGGACAATATACCCTGCTTTAAGAAGCGGCAAGAAGTCGTAGCTGTTGCGCAGTGGACATCATATGGGTTGGTATCTTTGCCCTCATTCCCCTTGCTCTCGCCCCATCTTTCTTTCTGTTTTTGTGATTTAATGTGCGTGAAATGTTGCATCGTTCCTCAAAATTGATTTTTTCTAGAAGAATTTATGTTTATGGGTCTGTACATGTGCATACTGTAATTTGCAGTCAGGATTCAGGAATTCGGCTATTATTACAATAACCAAGTTTATATTGAAGTTCATATGTACATTTTGTAAATGAAACATGCCGTTTACTTTCTGCCAGCCGCCAACATTTTTAGTTTAATATTTTGAACATGTTTCGCTATTCTCTTTCCACCAGTCAATTATGTGGTTTGTGTTAAGGATGAGCATTTAATCACTTCTAAGATCTTTCTAATATGGAATTTATTTCAATGATATTAATAATATATTTATGACAACTTGATAACAGTTTATCATTTTATCAGTTCCCTTTTCAGGACCTCTTTTTGTTTCTAAAAAGTATTTGATTGCATCATTGGTATAATTCAAAATTATTTGCTAACTAAATTTCCTGAAAGACCTTGTATTGTTTATGAGATTCCAGCCCGCTCATTTCTAGTCTGTGAAGAGCTTTATAGTTGAGGGGGGTGCATGGTTTGTTTCTTTAGTACTATAATGTAAATGAAACACGTGTTTTGAAAATTCAGGTGTCTGATAAACTGCATATCAATTGCAATATAATTCATTGGTCTATTTGAATGCAACCTCTAATTTATTTTTTATGTATTTGAAAATTGGCTGATTTTGTAGATTTTCAAAAATGCTGTAAATTCTTCATCACTCTTTATTGCAAGCTGTTGTCACAATCACTCATTGCTTCCCTCTTTGTTAACACAGCCATCGCCGCTAGCCGCTAGCCGCCAGTGACCATCATTGTTGTATCCACTGTTGATGCCACCGCCGCCGCTGCTTCTGACTGCAGGCTGCCACTAACACCACCGCCGTCGCCCCTGGCTACCAGTCATTGCTACCATCACTAGCTATTGTGGCTGGTCTCTACATTGAATTCATTTGACTTCAAGCTACACACAAAACAATAATCTTCTAAATTTGTTTTACACTCAACTATATTTTATTGATACTACATTTCAAATACATTTATTTTACACTTTCGTTTTTACTATACATTCATTTTTCAACAAGCCAAACCACCCAGTAATGTTATTGGATGTCACTATTATCTATGAAATACAATGTGTTTGATTCAATGTGTTTCTATTTAAAGATATAAATATTTTGAATAATAAAAAGTTGAATATTTTATATATTGAAATCCTAAATGTCGTCCAATCTTGGTTGATATTTACATGCTACTGTATTAGGACAGAGCAATTATTTATAAATTTGTTATTTTAGAGATCTCAACAAGCTAAATAACTTTTATTAGTTAATAACATGACGTTACATAGAGTTCTCAGTAAACCAAATAATCTTGAAATCTTCACTCTTCATGGAGCTATGTGTTATGGAGTAGATTGGGTATTGCTTATCAATGTAGTGTTTGCTCTGGAAGTGCGAATTTAAAGTTATTTTTTTTTTTTTTTTTTGAGAATTGCAAAAATTGCATTAAGGAGAAACAAAAGCTGTTACAAACTAATCAAACAATGCAACTATCATACTCCTTTAAAATGCTATACAGAGAAGAAGGAAAATCAGAAAAAGTAGAATAATCAAAGCAAAAGTTATTATCCAAAGCTAATGTAGCACACAAATCAACAACTTTATTACAGTTTCTAGAAGTATGATGAAAAGTTATCTTGTTGAAGTCATTGAGAAATGACATCTTCTCCGAAATCAAGTTATTAGCAGCATATGTTGATTTCATCATAGAATCATGAAGGAATTTGATGACATTGTAGTTATCACCTTCAATTATTACACCTTTGCTTTCAAACATCCAATCTTGTAAGAATTCTTTCAAAGTAGAAATAGCATCCAGCTCAAGTTGATTGATATCCCAGTGCAATTTCTGTTTACCGAAGGCAAGGAGCATTCTACCTTTAGAGTCTCTGACAATACCTTCAATGCTTGCTTTATTAGAATCCAATAAAGAAGCATCCACATTTATTTTTATCCAATCTAGTGGTGGAGGGTGCCAAAAAGTATCGGACTCCAAACGGAGAGAAGCACCCTAGTCAACTAGCATCGGAAACCTGTTCATAGCTGTGGATAAGATGTTTGCAACAACAACCGAAGTAGGTAAGATAGAATTGCCATGTTTAATGTCATTCCGACATCTCCAAGAGAAGAAAACTGCTATATAGTAGATCTTTACAATATTCAAACACTCTTTGGAAAGTTCTCTAAGTTGGGAAAGACAGTCCACCAATGAATGGAAGATAGGAATATTGAATCCCCAATATCTTAATTTGCAAATGATGTCAATAAGGAATTTGCAATGGACAACAACATGCGAATAGTCTTCAACTTCTAGACATCCTCTTGCACAAAGATCACTATGAGAAAGTCTTCTATATTTCAAAAACTCATTAGTAGGAATGTCAAACCTACTCATCCTCCACCAAAATAATTCGACTTTTGGTTTTATTTTTAACTTTCTTAACCAATTTGAAAACCCAAAATCTTCATCCTGTTTATTATATTTGATAGTTTCATCATAAGCCAAGGATGAAATCGATTTACCAGATAATTAGAAAAGAGGTTCCATTTGATCATCCTCCCCATCATGAATAACACAATGCTGCATAATGAGATTAACCAGATTCTTGTTGAAAAACCGATTCAATTCAGTCAGGTTCCATTGGCCGTCCCGAAGAAGAAATTGTTGTAACATCATGCCTTCTACACCAATACAGTCAGCAAGCATAGGCCATTTGTTGAAACACTTGTCTAATAACCAAATATCATTCATGACATTGATACTCTTACCATTAAACTATTTTCCATTTAACAATAGGTTTTAAGAAAGAAGCTCCATTCAAGAGGATAGACCAAGCCGCCGAATGCCCACTTTTGAACCCCTACTCCAAATATTTGTACCATACATGGCAGCAATATATCTATGCAGTAATGAAGAAGGATTTTGAGAGAACCTCCAGTTAATCTTGGTCTCAGAGGACCGGTTTTTTTTATAGCAGAGAATAAGCCCATACCACCTAGAAATCTTTGTTTACATAAATCTTACCAAGCAACATAGTGGAGGCCACTTCTACCATGATCATTGTGCCAAATAAAGTCTCTACAAATTCTTTTCAGATACCAAATGGATACATGAAATAAATGACATTAAAACCTCAATGGGTGCTAATAACATGGAAGAAATAAAGTCTAGGAAAACTAAAATTTGGAGCTAAATATTTAATTGGGTAACCACAGTATGTTATCTTGACTATTTATCTTCATCATGTCCATAATTGTTTTAATAATAAAGATGTTAAGTTAATTTTATACATTGATGTACTGGATTAGATCATTAGGTAGCTATTAAATATATTCTCAGTATCTAAGAAGATCTAGAAATTATATGTTAATATATGATGGTAGGAATATAATTCTTATAGGATATACTGTTTCTGATTTTCTGTTTAGGTTCAGATTATAGAAAATCAATATTTGGATCTGTATTCATTTTTGATAGAGGAGCTTTAGTTTGGAGGTGTATCAAGCATGATTGTGTTGCAGACTCCACCATGGAGACTGAAATTGTATCCGATTGCGAAGCAGTTAAAAAGGCAATTTAGCACTGCCAGTTCGTAACATATCTGTTATTTCGGTCATTAATGAGTTAGCTAAGCTTTAATGAGACAGTAGTAGAGGCCAATTCAAAGGATCAAACACATATAAGAAGAAAGCATGTAGAGAGGAAATACCATTTGATCATAAGCATTGTGCTGTATCTGTTTTGAAGATTTCTTCAGAAGACTATCTACCTAACCCATTTACTAATAAATTGTCGCAAAATACTATCGAAAATCAAAAGAAAGGATTAGGGCTAAGTGACATGCCAAATTTATTTTAGAGAAAGTGAGAGATTATTACAGATCATGCCCTGAAAATAATTTATTTTTGATTAATTAAATATAATAATATTTTATTCCAATATTTCTATTTATAAATGTCATCAAAATTTAATTATTATTAATATGGCCCAACGTTTAAAATTGCGCAATAAAAGGCGCGCCTCAGCGCAATTTCGACCAAATAAGCCTCAAAGCCTACGCAATAAATTTAGTTTATGAGGCTTACGCCTCAGGTTTACTGAGGCGCGCTCGCCTCATATATTTAAGGCGTCGCCTTTTTAAAATTTAACCTAATTTTTGTGTTATAAATGATCATATTTAAGAACAAAATGTTTGTGATTAATAAATTAAAGTTAAGATATTTAATTTAATAATTCCTAATATGGTTCATCTCCATTTTGAATGGTACTTAAGAATAAATATGTAATGAGTGAGGTCAATGAAATTTAACCAACTCTAATTATGAAGTATTCATGGAGGATGATTCCATATGTGATTGTTATATTTATGGTTTATTCATATTTATTGAATAAATTTGAAGTATTTAGTGGAGTAACTTTGGAATTAATAAAATTGAGATTAAAATTAAAGAGTTTAATTGATTATTAATTTTATTTGAGCTTGAAATTTTAGGTCCAACACTGTCATTGTCAGGTCCCAAGTCCTCGATGAGAAAAAAATGAAAGGTTGTATTAGGTAGTCGATAGCTAACACAAATTTTGTAGAATAATCATGACATGAATCATTTAAAAATTAAAATATTGTGTTAATGTTAGGGCGTTCCCTATAAACGACACGTTGTATACCTGAATACAACAAGAAGTGTGCAGGGGCCCTGCATCAGCTCCCGATTGCAGTGTCAAATAGGCTAGGGTTCCCACATCATGAACGAATGTGAGCAAAAAAACTAGTAAATGAAACTAGAATTCAGATAGGATCTTGGAATATAAGTTCTCTTATAGGCGAATTAATAGAAATAATTGATATTATAATTTATATGAAGATAAATATTTTTTTGCATTCAAAAAACTAAATGGGTTGGAGAGAAGACTAAGTAGATTGATAGTTTAGAATTTAAACTTTGATATTCTGGCACAAGTCGTATTAGAAATGGTGTGTGTGATTATAGATAAATGTATGAAGGATAATGTTATAAAAATTGATAGAATTGGAGACATAATTATTATTTTGAAGATTATTATTGATGCTAAGATTAATAATATTATAAGTATTTATGCTCCTCAAGTAGGTTTGTATGTGTTTAAAAATTTAGAATGATTTAGAATAATTAATTCAAAAGATACCTCTTGAAGAAAGAGTTTTTATTGGAGGAGATTTACATGTATATCTTAGTAGAGATGTAGAGAATTTTAAAAATATTTGTAATGACTATGAGTTTGGAGCGACTAATGAAGATGGTAAGACTATATTATAGTTTACTTTAGCTTATGATTTTATAATTGTTAATACTTTATTTAAGAAAAGATGTGAGCATCTCATCACTTATAAAAATAGATATAGTTAAACTCAGATTTATTATTTTCTTATAAAAAAATAGATCGTTTAAATTATAAAGATTGTAAAGTTATTCTGAGTAAATGTTTACGTACCCAACATGACTTATTAGTTTTAAATTTTAAAATGAAGATGCAAAATATGAAAAATATAATAAAAATTATTCTAAGTATAGATGTGAGTATTTAAAGAACATTAACAAATTTTTTTTTGAGAGTATGATTAGAGATCTTAAGATTTTGTCTGTGCATGAGGAAACAAATGTTATGTGAGAAAAATTAGTTGGTAATATTAAAATATTATAAAAGATGTGCTTGAAGTTTCAAAAGTAAAAACTTCTAAAAATAAAAATAGTTGACGATGGAATCAAAATGTGCAGGAAAAGATAAAAAATAAGAATCTTTGTTATAATAATTTGTTTAGATGTAAAAACTCTGAAAATAAAAAAATATATAAAGAGGCTAGTAAGGTGTCTAAGAAAGCAATTTGCAATGCAAAGGTTTTGGCTTTTAATGATTTATATAATAGATTAGATTGTAAAGAGGACGAAAGATATATGTATAAAGTTAGCCAAATAAAGAGATAGTTGAAAGAATTTAGTTCAAGTGAAGTGCATTAAGGATGAAGATCAAAAGTATTTTTTTTAAAGAGGATATTCAATAAAGGTGGATGAGGTATTTTGCTAAGCTTTTCAATGAAGATTGTGAGAATATGATTGACTTTAGTGTCCTTATCACTACAAATAAAAATAGAATTTTTTTTATCGGCTTATTAGTAAAACTGAAGTTAGAGAGACTTTAAAGAAAATGAAGTGTAAGAAAACAAGTGGACCTGATGATATTTCAATAGAGGTGTGGAAATGCTTAGGAGATGAATAAATTTCTTGGCTTACTTAAAATTTTAATATTATTTTGAAGACTAAAAAGATGTTAGATGAGTGGAGAATGAGTGTGTTGATTCTTATTTTAAAGAATAAAGGTGATGCAGAAGATTGTGAGAATTATAGAGGAATTAAGTTGATGTGTCATACTTTAAAATTTTGGGAGAGAGTTATGGAGCATAGGTTACGACTTTATACTAATATTTTTCAAAATCAATTTAGATTCATGTTGGGTAGGTCTATTGTGGAAGCTATTCATTTATTGAGAGGGTTGATGAAGAGGTTTAGAGAGAATAAGGAGGATCTGCATATGACATTTTTTGATTTAGAGAAAGCTTATGATAAAGTTCTAAGAGAAGTGCTATGGAGAATTCTGGAAAAGTAAGAGGTTAATAATGCTTATATTCAATTCATTAGGGATTTGTATGCAGGGGTTGTTACTTGTGTTCAAACACAAGGTGGTTTGACCAAGTATTTTCCTATTTCAGTTGGATTACATCAACTATCAACCTTAAGCCCTTATCTTTTTGCTTTAGTCATGGATGTTCTCACTAGACATTCTCAAGAGGATGTACCTTGGTGTATACTTTTTGCTGATGATATTCTTCTTGTTGATAAGACTAGAGAGGGAGTTGAAGGTAAACTCGAATTATGGATGTTAACCTTAGTGTCTAAAGGTTTTCATTTGAGTAGATCTAAAATACATGGAGTGTAATTTTAGTAGTAATAGATGTAGTGGGGGGTTTGCGATCAAGTTATTAATAAATGTACTCGTTCTAGATATCTTAGGTATATTGTTCAAAGTGATGATGAAATAGATGAGGATATTATTAGTAGAATTCAAGTTGGTTGGTTGATGTAGAGGAATGCTTCAGATTTGTTGTTTGATAGAAGAGTACTACTCAAACTTACGGGAAATTTTATAACATGGTGGTGAGATTTGCAATGCTTTATGGTGCAGAATGTTGGCCATTAAAAGAGAATCATAATATTAAGTTATGTGTTGTTGAGATGAGGATGCTTAGGTGGATGAGTGAATTTACTCTTAGAGAAAGGATACGAAACGAGCATATCCGTGATAGGTTGGACTCCATTGACATATAAGATTATAGAGAATTGCCTTAGATGGTTTGGGCATGTAAAACGATGGCCTTCCAAAGACTCTGATAGGAGAGTAGATGCATTAGATTTGACCTATGATAAGAAAGGTAGGGGTAGACCTTAAAAGACTTAGTTAGAAAATATTAGAAATGATATTTCTTTATTAGATTTAAATAAGAATTTTACTCTTAACAAGACATAATGGAGAAAAAAGATTCATATAACCGACCACTCGTAGTGGGATGAAGACTTGATGTTGAAATTTTAGGTCCATAATTTATCTTGCCTTCTCTAATATACTTTTGGAAACTATTAGTTTATTATATAAAATTTATTAACTAGAGTTGTCAATATTGGACCTGACCCGAAAATTTCGGGTTTGGGTTGACCCGAACCTGAAGTAATCGGGTCTGGAAAACCGACCCGTTTGCAAAACCTGGTTGGGTTCGGGTTGACCCGGAAACCCGGAATCGACCTGAAATAACCCGGAAAACCCATTTGCCCCCGCCGCCTGCTGTCCCACGTTGCCCTGCCCTGGCTGCCCGCTGTGCTGCGTCGAATTGCATCGAGACGTTGCCTGAGTTCGCGCGTGACGTTGCCGTTGCACTGTCGTGACGTTGCCTGCCTGAGTCACGTCGCCGCCGTCGCAGGGGCGCAGTGCGCGAGTCGCGTGTGACTTTGCCGTGCGTGACGTTGCCGCGCATGACGTTGCCTGCCCGAGTCAGAATTTTAAATTATTGTACTTTCATAAAGTTTGTGAAATAAAACTACAAATATTGTCTTAAATTATTTTTATCACATCTTTTCAATGTCTTATTCAATTGATTTTGAATTAATTGAATTGCATGGATAACATGATTATTTTTTAGTACATTTCTAATAAAAAGTTATTTGATAAATATTTAGTTTTAATATAATAATTGATTATATATTATTATTATTTTTTAAGCTAATAAAGGTCTTAAAATGTCATTTAAAGTTAATTAAAGAGGCATTTTAAAAAGTGCTGTTAACTTTAAAATAATTAGATACATCTATATTCATTTAGATGTTCTTCATAAACGTCATTAAATGTTTTCGAAGGTGCTGTAGAGTTATTTTGTAATGGAGTTACAATATAACTGTTGGAGTAGAATTATTATATTGTTATGGAGTTGCAATATATTTTAAAATGTGTATGATGGATATATTGTATTGGTTACAAGCGTATTGCCTTACATACTTATTAGTGCTGTAGATATATTGGTTAATGTATATAAAACGTCTATTATTGCTGTTATTATATTGGTTTATATAAATTTACTTAAATGTCTATTAGTGTGTAATAAAGTAAATGTATATATTAGCTACTTTTCTTAATGTCATCTGACGTTTTACTTTCGGAAACATTATTAGACGTTTCTTTTCAAAAAAAAAAAACTCTTTGATATTCGGATCAGCATTGTTTTTAGGTTAAAAAAGGGGGTTAGCAATTGTTATTTTAAATAGAACAAAAATGTTAAGTTTTTTCAATAATATGTAAACTGAAAGACGTATTCTCTACTAAGTATGCAACATTTCTCATCAATTGAGAGTTCCTCACATTTTCCATTAATACGAGATTAGGTGTGGAAGTTCTAAGGAATCAATAAAATTTGAAGTAATCAAATTGTCAAAGTCATGGAAAAGGCATGCAAGTCTTATTTTTGATATGGCTGCAAAATAAAATGAATATATTTATCTACTATTGATTTTTTTTTTACTGAAATTTTTTATCGTACATGGTTCTACCAAGTTCTTTGCTTTTGAAATTTTACTGATTTGGTTTGCAAAACCAACATGAGCTTGTGTGCCAATTGAAATACAACCATGATCAATCTAGTCCAAAATAAATTAAAATCAATTTTGAAAGAAGTATTATAAGGCATGGAAGACAGGTCTTAATAGTTTTAAAGAATTTTGTATCGATCTTACCTTTGTCTACTCTACCTTTTTAATTAAGTTTATCTTTTTCACATTTTTAATTCAAACAATGAAGCAAGCTAATAAAAGCATTATGGTGTTACTAGAAAAATAAATCTTCCATGAATACAGAAGTTCATAAGTAGCATATGAGATGTATATAATTATTGTAGAATGAAGGAGAGGCTTTTAAAGGTTTAATTAATCCTCTAATTGCAATGCCATGTTTAAAAGATATATCAAGATCTTATTATCTAATGCAAAATCAAATTAACTTTTTACAGGTCTTTCTGTACTATTCTTTGAAAAAGAACTCTAGAAGGAAATGATTCATTCAGCACTTTATACGGCCTGGAAAACACAGAGGACTAGATAGTTTTTGAATTTTGTCTATCATGAACATTTTAGTGCTTATTGATGATAATTTACTTGTGCACCATTTTCCTCTAGCATATGTTTTTATCAGTTGTAGTGGGATAAAGGCTTGATGTTATTTTTGTTGTATATGTTTTTATCGATTTGATTTTACTGCTTATGTATTATTTTTTCTGATCAGAATATAGTATTGGAAGTGTCCATACTTAGTGGAAACCCTGTGATGACCTGCATTCTGTACAGATCTTCTGCAGCTCTCTTTTCACGTAACAGCCATGTGCTCATGAGGAGCTCTTTATATCGCCTACCTAAAGCAGCATGGAAAAGGGACATACTACATGTTTGCATTGGGGTGATTAGATCGGATTGCTTTATTCTTGGATTTGGAATTCGGTGCTTCTCTTCTCAAGAATCACAGACTTCAGGGATCACAAAGGAGAATCTTAAACCGCTGATGGATGAAGAGTCTGATGCATTTTATGTTGTTAGGAAGGGTGATATTATTGGCGTCTACAAAAGCTTAAGTGATTGCCAAGCTCAAGTTAGCTCTTCGGTAGATCCTTTGGAACCTTCATCTTTATATTTCTCCTGCCTGTTATTTATCTGTTATTTACTATTTTTATTAATGAAAATCTCTATTTAGATGTACTTTACCGTGTTTTTTTTGACACTCCTTGAAGTTTAAATCAATTTTTTCTTGTTTGAAGATAAAAAAAAAAGTTCATCATTTTGAACATTGAAATAGGACAATGCTTATACATGGCGGCTGATTTTAGTGCTGCCTAGAAAGATGATGTGATTATTCCAAAACTTCTGCTCATTTTTATTTTAGAAACATAGAAAAGGATATAAGTCGATTTTTATTAAACACCTCTATTCTCTTGAAAATACAAAGCACAAATACAAATAATTCCTTTGCTTTGTCTAAGAAATGATTTGATATATTTCGGCAACCATCATTCTTATTGCTGCGTTTAAACTTTCTTATAGTCATTAAAAATGGCAGGGAATGTAGTTATTGTCCTTTATAACCTTTTTAGTTTATAATAAGTTCTACCCTTGTTAATTATCTTCTATGTAGAGCTTTATGGAGCCACTTTATTCGTATTCTTTAATATTTTATTTTTAAATTTTATGTAGGTACGTAGTGGGATAAAGGGATAAAGGTTTGATGTTGTTGTTTTATGTAGGTATGTGATCCTTCAGTCAGTGTGTACAAAGGTTACTCATTACATAAGGACAGTGAAGACTACCTTGCTTCTCGTGGGTTTAAAGATGCTTTATACTCTATGCATGCAGCATATTTAAAGGAAGATATTTTTGGAACTCTTGTGCCTTGTCCTTTCCAGGTAATAACTGCAATAATTATTTTTTTATGTTCCTCACTTGAAATTCTATTGACCTAACAATGGAGATGTCGCTCCCTCATTTTGCTTCTTGATACAATGGAGATGCCATCCCTTATTTTGCCTCATGGCTCGGCGGAGATGTCGCTCCCTAGCCTCCTCGGATCATAAGTCTTTCACCCAAAGACTTTTTCTTCCTAGAGCTCTAATATAAGAGCTCTACCAACAATAATAGGAGGATCTAAGGCGCAGGCTAGATGGAGCAAGAATGTGAATCCCCTTACACCCCTTGTCTCCCTCAAGGCAAACTCCCCCTCTACCTCACCTCCTCACTCTCCCTTGTAATGTGGACACTCTCCAAAGCTATCTCATAAAAAAAGTTTCTTATTACTCAACCCTCTTGACCCTCAAGTCATTTTTTGTGTCATAAAATGGGCTCTTTAAAATCCTAAATTTTTAAAATTATTGCTCTGATTGTACAATGCGATAAATATACCATACTATCCGATTAGTTCAATTCTGTAACTAATCGTCCTATACATGCATAGTCGTTTAATACAATTAGTTATATCAGAATCACAAATCATCCAAAACGAACTATGATTCACCCACTAAGCTCTCTATTAGATTGTTTTGTACCATATTGATCATACAATACGATCATTAATAATGATTAGATCCTAATTCGATTTCGTAATCTATGAGTTTAAATTATGTAATATTAATTAATGTTTGTATAGTACGAAGTAGTTCGTATTGTACGATCAATTTAAATTTCAAAAATTAAATTTACCTAATTTAGATAACATAGATTCAACGACGGTATTTGCTCAAAATAACTGATTGTTCTGTACGATTTAAGGTTGTACAATATGATTAATTATAACTCAATTTAATTAAATATTTGAATTAATTTTTATTTTAAGCATATCGTACAACATGATTTGAATTGTATAACATGATTTACATAATACAACATGATTTGGATTGTATACATGACAGAAAAATTCAAATATTCAATTTTACTCTCCCTTATGAGCGTGTGCTCAGTTGTCTTGCCAACATACACTTAATGTTGAAATGACTCAAGAAAAATAAAAAGTTCATCCTTGATTATTACAAATTGATTTTGACTTTAATACTGCACTCTCGAGTTTGATTCACTTGATCTGGCTCGTTGTATGTTGTTCTTGATAAGGTTAATGATACAGATTGTTATTGCTCATGGTTTGTCTTATTTTTTATGTTCTCTACATATACACAAAACAAAGAGAGATTACTCATTGAATGGACCCTGATCCAATGGTGGTGGTGGAGGCTGGAAGTAGCTGTACAAGGAAGTCTGCTAATTTGCGAACCATGGACGATCTATCTCGTGCTGTTGCTGTAGTTACCCTCAGTGTGCGGTAGACTCTTGAATGTGTCTCCAGTCTTAACTCTAAGCATTCAAATAATTAAATCCATGAGTCAAGAGGTGATGGCTAGAAGACTTGGATAGATGTTATGTGAGCGCGTGTTTTAGGGGCTGGTGATGTCCCGTCCTCATCTGAGTCTTGTTCCTCTACATCCTATGGTCCTCGACGTCTATCTCTATAGAGAAAAAAGGAAGGAGTTATCCATGAATAATAGCGGGAGGTGATCAATTGGGGTAGGGTACATCAAGTTATACTTGGTATTTAATACGTAATCTATGATATGTTCTAGTGCCAGGTTTTGTCTACGGCTTGCCCTAATGATGGTTATATTTTTGATGTAGCAGATAAACATGTTTGCAACATTAAACTCAGTGTCAATCATATAGAAATATATGACAATGGATAATAAAGATGTAATGTTGATCCTATCGTTAGCTTTAGGGATGATTGAGTTCTAAGGATATGCTGGTTAATACAGGAATCCAAGACTAAGGTGCTGACTAAAGGCTTGTGCTGGTTTGGGGAGTGTTCCTAAGAGTGGGGTTGACCCGAGTCCATTTGTAATCACTAATAGTTGAGATATTTTGGGATTTGGTGTCGGTTGTAGAAATGTGAAGTTCATTAAAGTCATAATATGTGATTTCTACGGGACATCTACAAACATAGGATTGAAAGGATATGCAGTCGTAAAGGATCGTACTGGATGAATTTACTTCATCCTAATGGTTATTGCCAAATCAATTGTATAGTATGATATGCGATTCAATACGAATCCCAATAATTGGTTTAATCCAAGTTGGTTACAAATGTATGGTTGATGTGTGTTGATTGATGTGTATCGTATAGTACGAAATGCAAAAAAATTTAGGTGTGTAATGATCAGGGACAATTTAAAAAGCACATTATACACAAAATTTTGACACAAATCACAAAACAACCAAAGCAAAGGCTAAAACAGGAAATAATATTATGACAATACAATTCAAAAACAATATACATGCATATAAAACATTATAACATGCAACAAAGTAACATAAAACATAAACACATAGGCTAGAACATGCAATATAAAAGCACAATAATAATCGTAGCATCCAATAGCCTTAATTTTCTAAGCACTTATAATAATAACTCCCAATCTAATCCTAAGTGCGTTGAACTTATCATAATTCAGGAGTTTGGTAAAAATGTCTCCTAACTAATTTTTTGTGTCTAGATGTTGTATCTCTACATCTCCCTCAACCAAGTAATCTCTAATAAAATGATGTCTAATATCAATATATTTAGTGCGAGAGTACTGAATAAGATTTTTAGTGATGCAGATTGCACTTGTATTATCACACATGATAAGGATGGTCTCTATGTGCACCCCAAAATCAAGAAGTTATTGCTTTAGCCAAATGCCTTGGGAAACTCAACTTCCTAAAACTACATACTTGGCTTCTATAGTGGAATGAGCTACGCAATTTTACTTTCTACTGGACCAAGAAAGTAAAGATTGTCCTATGAATTAGTATGTTCCTGAGGTGCATTTCCTGTTTAGCCTACATTTAACAAAATTTGAATATGAGTATCCAAACTAAGTCAAAAATCAAGCTATTTCTAGGATACCAAATACTTTAGTTCTGATACCTATGAAACACCTTATGATTCTTTTGATAGCTGTTATATGGAATTCCTTAGGGTCAATCTAAGATCTAGCACATAGACCAACACTGAATATAATATCAGACCTATTGCAATCAGGTAAAGCAAGGAACCTATAATCTCTCAAAATTTCTTTTGATCAATTGCTTTACTGTCTTGATCCTTATCTAGTTGGTTGGTCAGGCTCATCGGTATATTCATGCTCTTGCAACCTTCCATATCAAATCTCTTCAAATTTTATTTAATGTATTTAGTCTGACTCAAGATGGTTTCATTTTTTCTTTGCTTAATATTAAAATCAAGGAACTAAGTCAATTAACCCATCATATTCATCTCGTATTCATTACTCATAGTGGAAGAAAATTCTTTGCAAAAATTATCTTTGGTGGATCCAAAAAGAATATCATTGATATAAATTTTAATTATGAGTATATCTTCTCAAATTCTCTTAATAAATAGGGTGATATCTATGGTGCCTATAACAAAGGATTTTTCTAATAGAAAATTACTAAGTCTATCATACCACGCCCATGCCCTTGATGCTTGTTCAAGCCCATAAAGTACTTTCTTAAGTTTAGAAGCGTGGTTTGGAAGGGATGAATTCTAAAAAATTGGGGATTGTTCTAGTTACACATCTTCCTTAATTATCCCATTTAGAAAAATACTCTTTATATCCATTTGATACAATTTGAAGTCCTTAAAACTCTCAAATGCTAACAATACCCTGATAGCTTCTAATCTAACTACGAGGGAAAAGATTTCTTCAAAGTATATCATTTCGATTTGGTTGTAATCCTTTGCTAGCAACCTTGCCTTATTTCTAATTATGGTTATAGAGTCATTTAATTTATTCTTGAATATCCATTTAGTTCCAACAATAATCTAATTAGGATCTGCTTTCTAATTCCCACACATCATTTCTAATAAATTGATTTTGTTCTTCTTGCATTATTATAATCCAGAATTTATTTGCTAGAGCCTGATCTACACGGGTGGGTTCTATCATAGGGCTATGTGATTAATTTTTTTTAAGATCATGCTTAGTCCTAATCCTTACGAATGAGTCTCCTATGATAAGTTCTCTAGGTTGACTAGATGAATATCTTCATTTCATAAGCAATGGATCCTAAGCTTCATCTCTATCATCTAACTTAATATTTTCAATTCTATGGATTATCTCTTATTCTTCATCATCAATCACTTTAGTTTTAGAAACCATATTTGATTCATCAAATATAACGTAAGTGGACTCCACAACAACTAAGATTTTAGTAAATATTATATATTCTTTACTTATAAAGAAAAGTATCCTAAAAATAATATTTCCTCTGCTTTTGCATCAAATTTTCCTGAATATGATTTTCCATGGTTTAAAATAAAGCAATTATACTCAAACATATGTAGATGAGACAAATCAGGTGATCTAACCTTAAGTAGCTCATATGGTTTATTCACTTTAGATCTTATATTTACTTAATTAAGAACATTATAAATATATTTACCTCTGCCCAGAAATACTACGGTAGATTGTACTAACTATGCATTGCCCTAACAACTTATACTAATGTCATATTCTTCCTTTCGGCTATCCCACATTGCTGTGGGGTTCTAGGAGCTGAGAAATTATGCTCTATCCCATACTCTTTACAAATCAATTCAAAATTTGCATTTTTAAATTGACCTCCTTGATCACTATAGATTGTTGAAATTAAACATCCATTTTTCTCTGAATCTAAATTGAGAATATTCTAAACTCTTCATATAACTCTCTTATTTGCAAGTAATTTAACTTAAGTGAATCTAGAATAATCGTCAACAATCACAAATCTAAACAATTTTCCTTCTAACTTGTACTAATATGTCTAAATAAATTCATGCGAAGTACTTCTAAATGTCTAGTGGTTACTATGTCTTTAATGGAATGGAATGAGAATTTAATTT